AGAGATCTGCTGAATACCTCGAAGAAAGATCCAGAGTTTCGTTCCATTTTCCAGCACATTCAGTCTTCACAGCTTCGCCGCAGCCCGTCAGAGCTGTTCGCTCAGCACATAGTCTCAATCGTTCACTACATCAAAGGTACAGTATGATCTGAGCTGGTCCAGACTCCAGGGGACAGACAACAGGACAGTTGTTAATGTTTTTATATATATAAAAAAGTTTTTATATATATAAAAGTTAGTCACCATGGTTACCACTCCTGTGTGAATAAAACTGTTTTGTTGTGACTTTGCAGCTCAACACTTCCGCTCCTCTGACATCACTTTAAGTGAGCGGTTTGCCATGTACCAAAGAAAAGCTGCAGAGGTAGAAATGATGAAGCCAAGGAAGAGCCCAGAAATCCACAGGTACACCAACACCTATCTGATCATGTGTAATTTACTCATCAAAGCATTTTTAATAATAATCAATAAATGACATGAAGTGACGTTTCCCTCCTCTCAGGAGAATCGATGTTTCCCCCAGTGCCTTTAAGAGGCACTCTCACCTGTTTGAGGATGTGGACGAGACGAGCTACAAGGTGACCAGCACTTTTGAAATTTGACGTATTTGGAGCAAATTTGAGTCGATCCAAAGCAGCAGTGTTCAGCTTTGTGCTTTTCTTTCAAAGGATGCATATTTCTAAATCAAAAGAGCCCAATTGTGTTTTGTAAGTGCCAAGCAAGCCCCCCAGCCTATGAGATATGGTTATTGATTGGGTAGATACGAACCCAAGCAAAGGCTAAAAGGAAGTGAATTAAGATCCTGAGTCCGAGCCTCTCAAGGGACGTTATCAGTGCCTTTACCTTGTAAGTATTTTTCCTAAAAAGACAAAAATCAAGCCACAAAACAGCTGTGAAATTCAGTTACTCTGCTACATGCATGCTGCTGGTTACCACAGATACTGTACAGAAGAGTGTTGTATTTTACTACACATAGTATTTACTGCCAAGTAGTTACTGATCATAGTAATAAAATATGTAATTCAATAATTGTCAATATTCACTTTTTATCTTTACTAGAGGGAACACAATACTTTCATATGTTGTACATCTGTGTTTGCTTTGCAGCTTTTTATTATAATTTTTTTTATTAGTTGATCAAGTATTTAATAATCTCTCTATGTATATATATTTATATATATGACATGTTCAACATAGTATACATGATATATATGAATATGAATCTGTGAGAATGTGTGCACTTGATTTCTTCATTCAGTATTACAGTAGTATTGGTGCTGTGGTAAATAAACACGAATCTCTCTGCAGGATACAAGTAAAAAGTTCAAAGGTGACGTGATGGACCTTCGGCTGGATATTGAAAGACGTAAGAGGTTTGCAGGGAAAGAGCGAGACTACAAGCGTGAAGGCGGCAGGAGCCCAGGAGGCTCCCGAGGGCCGAGCAGGGAGAGGTCCTCTGAGAAATCTGGGAAACACCACAAGAAATCCAAGTACGTCCCATCAGTTCTTCAGTGACTCACCACAGACCTGGAGTCTGTGGGACCTGGACAGAGTCCTGTCTCTTTGAAGCCATAGTAACCACTTCCACACGTTGCTCTTCATATCTCTACGTCACTTTCATACCTGTAAAACTCATCTCCATTTTAATGACGGCAATGTTTTTCTCACAGGAAGGGTAAGAAGAAGCGGGATCGCTCCCCATCCTCCTCTTCCTCCTCTTCCTCTCCATCCCCCTATCCACCACCTTTCAGAGGTAAAGAGTACATGGGGGAGGGGATGGAGCACTCGGAGGAGGGCTACAGTCACTCTCGTTATCCTCCACGGGACTGCAGTGGACCTGGAGACAGAGGCCCTCGAGATTACGAGGGCCATGGCCCGGAGCGAGGCCGAGGACGTGGATTTGTAAGTTCCTGTCTGAGCTTAATTTCTTCTGCTGCTGTTTGCTTTTCACTGACGTTTCTTCTTGTAATTCTCTGTCCTAATGACATCACAGTAGACTGAATTCTCTGCTCTGTTCCCTCCTCCTAATGCTAAGGATCATAATGTGGATGATGATAATGATGATGACACTCTCATACATAATCCATGCACTACCTGGTTTTTACTAAGGTAATGTAGTGAAACCAGTGAAACCTCATCACTGAACTAAACCCTGATCCATCAGTTGTGTCGTGGCTCTGGGTTTGTTTGAGTCTGACTTAAACCAGGTTTATCAACATATTCCTCCATCTTATTCTAGATCATGTGACTGTTGTTTTGATTCCAGTTCCCCAGAGTCAGAGGAAGAGGCTGGAACAGGGGAAACTATCCAGGCAACAACAGCAATGGAAATCCTGCCAATATGAACCCTCCAGTGCGCCCCCCAGAGGAGGAGTGGGACCCTGAGTACACGCCCAAGAGCAGGAAGTATTACCTGGTGAGACTCTGCAGCTGCTGATTCATTTAATTCATATATAAATGTTTAATGATAATGAAGATGGATCATTTGTTGAAACCCTTTTTCTGAACCAATTTAGAACATCATATTTATTCAAACATTTTCAAGTTCTTATGTATTATTTATTTAAACACTGTAAATGAGCTTAAAATAATCATCAAGAAGATTCCAACCTTCACTGTGTTTTTCTTCATCTTGACCTTTAACCTTTCTTGTTTCTCTTCCAGCACGACGATCGTGACGGAGAGAAAACCTGGGTCGACAACCGTGGAAGAGGCCGCGGTTCGTTCCCGGCTCGTAGAGGACGCTTCGTTTACAGGAAGGGGGGCAGCAGCCCGAAGTGGACCCATGACATGTTCCAGGGGGGGGAGGAAGGGGAGCTGGGAGATGACCACATAGAAGTCGACCATAAAGACGCCAAGATGGCCGGAGATTCCGCCGCTGGCTTGAAGCAGTAAACTGCTACATCATCCATCAGCATCACATGATGATGAAGAGGTTCTTTAATTTTTCTCCATTTCATGTCATTAACGGTTAAAGTGAAGAAAGAACTGTACGTGACTCGGTTCCTTCTGTCTGTGACAAGTTTAATTTCAGTGTTCTTTATGTGTTGGATTTGTTTTGCAGCTGATGACTCACATGTGGAGAGAGAGAGATTACTGAGGCATCAAAGTTCTCTGAAAACAAAATAAAAGCGTTTGTGCCTTAGAAAATAAAACTATAGTAGTGTGTACTTGTGTAGCTTGTTTGAAGGTACAGCCCAGCTGGGAGAGGTAGAACTGTTCTTCTGTTTGTTTCTTTGTTTGGGGCTGTGATTAATCTTTGATGTGACTGCATGAAACGTTTGATTCATACCTCGCTCCATGGGACCAATCAGTTGTTGTCAAACGATCAAACATAACAGTTATTATCTGTTGAACCCCTGGAAGCTTGATATTTGTCACTTATATTATCCAAGCTTTTTCACTTCACCTGTCTGTCTCATTAGGAAGTGAAGACATTGTGTGTGCTACAGTATATTCTCATTGATTGTGGCAGTTTTCAGTTAAAAACAATTGGCACCAGAATCCCCTGATTTGCTTTAGACAGATAAACGGCTTTTCCTGCCTCTGATCTCAGTGGAGATAAGTGGTTTCCTTTCTTTAGATTTTTAATAAAAAAGACATAATACATGTATAGAATTATACAACCTAAATCATTGTAATCTTAATGTCTGGAGGAGGGAAAATAGAAACTGAATGTGGTTCTTTTTGGACCTGCAGTTTAACCCTGTCATTGAACCTGAACATGAAAAACCTGAAAATTTGTGACAAAACATTTTGTCAAGAGGCAAAAGATGTGTATTTTTGAGGAGTTGACACAAACTAGTTCTGTGAATCTCTCTGTGCTGCTTTGTCCCACATTGACTGTACATTCTGCATGTACTAAACACAACTGTAGGACTTCTTTTTTTTTTTTTTTTTTTGATTAATCAGAAGCTGAAAACTTTTTTACTGTTCAAGAGTTTTGAATTACTTGTCTTTTAATTTTCAATAAAATTTTCTTTGATTCAGGGCAATTCTGTAAGTGTGATTTTTGAGATTTATACTTTTTTCCATGAGTTAAACAAAAAGGAACAATAAACAGCCAAATGTAGTTTGTGATAATGAGTTTTGTTGACTGTAGCTTTATGTCCCTATTGTTTTCCACATACAGACCTCACTTCTTAATCTGTTGAAGGTTCAGTAAATGAGATTTTAAACAATAAACCAGCAGCAAACAGCTTGTTTCTATGTAAAGATACTGAGGCGTTATGGCATCCTGAGCAGACACCATGTAGTTTAATCTGTGCTATGTTCTGTTGTGATATCGGGCGGTGGTGTGTGGTAGTGTGTATGTGTGCGTGTTCATGCAAGTGAGTCCCTCCTGTTAAACCATTGGCCCTCTACACCTTTATTCAGGCACAGGGACCCCCCCCCCCCCCACCCCACAGGCGAAATAGATGGAGCAGTACTCAGAGTTCAGGTGTGCGGTATTTTAACTTTGTGTATTTCTATGTATCTGACGTCATTGTAAATTAAGGAGACAACAGTCAATAATAAATGAGAAAACAGTCCAAACTATCCTTCATAGAAGAAGCCACGTCTTTCTCTGAAAGGCCCCTACAAAGGAAGATCAGATCAGAGAGGGGACATGAGGACCACCGGGTCAAATCTCGGTCGGCTGTGGACCGACTCCCTCAGTGTTCTCTGACCTGGACTCAGTACTGGATTTACTGAGAGGAGAGACCTGCTAGCTGCTGAAGATCAGGGAGGACAGCTGGACTCAACTGTTTCTTCTCCTCCATGTGTAAGTAACTAGAATCTAGTTACTAGATGGTTCATAATGTTACATGTCTGTTTTTGTTAATGACGGCTACAGTAGCATGCTAACATTAGCTAACTTGCCATATTTTTAATATGTTTGGCAAATGTTGCTATTGCTAGCTGGCTAGCTGTTAGCATTGCTTTGGAGCATATCAGGCAGTGCTAATGTGGACTAATGGTTGTCTTGAGTGTGGTTGGCAGTGACAATCTACAAAACCTTTAACAAGTTTTTTTCCCTCAGACATGTTTAAACCTTTTCATGTAAAGCTGAACTGAAGTAGCTTTTAGTTTTTAGCCAAAAACCAAACCCTTTACTTTTGATGAAGGAGACAAAATACAAAAACGACAATATTGTATTTGTTATTACAGCCAGTAAGTAAATAATGTTTTAAATGTTATACAAGCTACACATGAAGAACATTAATATTTCTCTCGTCTCTCCACTGGTTTGGTTATCTTAGCTTAACTTAGCATAAAGACTGGAAACGGGGAAACAGCTAGCCTGGCTCTGCCTGAGGGTTATCTTATTCATATCATCTGTACAAAACCATGATGCAGTGATACTGCAGAGAAGAATCTGCCGTGGAAACTTTGTGGTAAGATTTTTTAAATCATGGAGATTTAATGTTTGTCAAACTTTCCCAGATGCTAGAGAAGTGACTTTTATAAGCATGATGTCAGGCCAATGTAAAGTGAGTGGAGACACAAGGGGGGGTCAAGTGACAGGATGGTAGAGATGGTTCTGACAGCCTGTTACAACATTTACAACATACCTCATTAGTTCAGCTCCAACACTAACAAATCTCTTATCAAACATTTTATCTCTCCTCTTCTCTCAATCTTTGAACATTGACAATGCTGCCACTAAAACTAGTATTTCTGCTTTCTGGTGGTTAGACATGTTTATGTTAGAGTTAATTTGGCCTTAAGTTATTCACAGGTAAACCTAATAAGATTTGATAAGGGAGTAAGGATTCAGATTCAGTAACTTACAGTCAACCCCCCTCCTGGCTCCACACATCCACCTTTGAATTGTTTTTATATTTGGACAGAGCTGAACTAGCAGTTTCCTCCTGTTTCCAGTCTTTATGCTATGCTAAGCTAACCATTTGCTTCATATTTACCTACAGACATGAGATTGATATTAATATGCTCTTCTAATGTTCTGTAAGAAAGTGAAGAAACGTATACGTCAACTTATAGAAGTGTATGTATTATTTTCTGTAGCAGACACAAAATATGTTTCTGAAACATGTAATCAACCGAGAATCATATTTACAGGACAAACAGACAAGTCTTTACCAGAGAGTGGGCAGTGTTGTAGCCAGACTGAGAGGGAGCTACTGGGATTTGTGGAAACAGACACAAGCTGATGTAAAGACTGGAAAAAGACTGGAGGGTTTCTGTGGGAAAGACTAGCCCAGTGATAAACACATTAACTGCTAATTCTGACCATCAATAGTTTAATATTGTTATGAAATGAATCAGTAACAGTTACTTTAACTATGAAAAATTAAACAATTGACAACATAATGATTCTTAGGTGAATGCAACATGATAAATGTCAGTAACCTTAGCTGCTAAATTGTAGATTTGCAGCCGTATTGTAATTGGTAGATTTGTAGCTGTATTCTGATTGGTTTGTTTGAAGCTGTATTCAACTTCTTACATTAAATCACAGATGATCTGAGGTCATTGAACTTGATCTTCCTGCAAAAAGAATGGTATGATAGAAAACCAGGTGAGTGACCCGATTACATGGAGTCCTCAGGTGAAGACAGTGATCTCTGATTGTGTTTTGAACCTCAGATGAAGAAACTTGTTCAGTCGTGTTTTTATCACTTGAGAAATATGACTAAGATGAAGTCTTTTATTTTGGCCACAGATCTGGAGAAACACCTGTACACCTCTCTGTCAGGAATCAATCCACGGCCTACAGTTAGTTCATTGACTGTTGACTGGTAAATGTAAATGTATTTCAAACCCCACCAGGGTTGACATAACCTTTGATGTTAAAAAGCTCCATCCCTCCCACATAAGACATTAAACATGAGACATTATGAAACCTTTTTCACATGTGGAGTGTTTCTCCTCATGATGAGTGAACTGATATTCATGTGTTCATCAGTGAACTCTCTCTGTCCGTCAGTCGTGAAGAGTCTTTCTCAGTGTCTGTCAGTGGTAATGGACTCGTCCTATTGTCCCCGTCCCTGTGACCAGGATGTCCGGCTGCCCGTTCCTCCAGATCTCCCTGACGATTCGCTCTCTCTCCTCCAGACGTCTCGCCTTCTCCAGCTCGTCAGCTGAAGCGAACACATCAACACTCATCAGAGAACTATTAGACGTCATCGGCCCGGCAGTCACTCTGGGGGTCTCTGCCTCCTCCCCATCCTCGTCTGCGATGCTCTCCTCCTCCTCCTCTTCCTCTTCCTCTTCCTCTTCCTCGCTGGACTCCTTCAGCTGCCTCCTCTCGGGGGAGGGAGGCAGTCTGCGGTGGCGGTGAGTCCTGCAGGCGATGGCAGCCACCAGGAGGCAGAGTGCCATGAGCAGCCCGAAACAGACGCCCATCATGAAGTAAAGGGCGAAACTCTCTGGATTGGCTGCATGGACAGAAGACAGTCAACAACAACAACTGGTAGACAACAACAGGTAAAGAATAATAGGTAAACAACAACAGATAAACTCACTCAGGTACTGGACTGAAGTACAGTTAAAGGTACTTTTTGCCACTTCCTGTTCTGCTTTGATCACAGTCGTAACCCTGATGTCCTCTGAGAGGAAACTTTAAATTTTAAATCCAGAAAGTCAAAATGACAACTGAACAAATTAGAGAGGCACAAACAAATATCAGTTCTTCTGCCTCAGCTAAAGTCACTCTACCAAAGTGTCCCACGGGTCTGACGGTGTATTTAAAACAAAACATTGAGTATAATATGCTTGTAAAATAAAATAAAAATCTTGTTAAAGACTGAACCAGCAGCTCTCGACCATTTTGCTTCATGAGCCCTAATTAAAAAAACAGAGTTAGCTGGGACCTGGAACCTCATCACATGTCACGTTTTCACATGTTTTCAGTTCAGACATTTCCCCTTTAAACTTGTGCTGGAAAAATAACTTGAATAAATAACCAATATCACAATGATAAGTAAGCCCAGCATTTGAAATTCCACTAGGTTGTTAATAATGATGAATAAATAAATCAATGGTGGAGCCAGTTTTAACTGCTCTAAATACATTCGGGTAGTTTTGTCCGGTGGTTACAAACCTCCACAGGGTCAGATGAATCTGATGGTTGAGGGGATTAATGGAGAAAGAACAAATTGTGTTTTCAGTTTTGGACTTTGCATCTATTCTTTAACTTTAGTAAGTGATGTGAATTCTTCTACCACTGGAAGTAAATGACGTTTGGCTGTTTGCCTGAACTCTGTTTATTTTTCTTCTACTGTTTCTGAGCAGCAGATCCTGTTTCCAGTTTATATGCTAAGCTAACTGGTTGCTGCCTTTAGCTTTATAGAGTGGTGTTAGTCTTCTCATCTTTTTTTTGGGGGGGGGGGGGGCTTTTGTGCCTTTATTGGACAGGATAGTAGAGAGAGAGACAGGAAATGGGGAGGCAGAGAGAGGGGGAATGACATGCAGTAAAGGGCCGTCCGATGTGGGAATCGAACCGGGGGCCTGCTGCAGCAAGGACTGTGGCCTCTACACATGTTCAACCCACTGCGCCACTCGACGCCCCCGTCTTCTCATCTTTTAACAGTTTTACAGCCTTCAGAGGTAAAACTGTTCACTATTTGGTATTTGAGAAGGAATAATTGATGATTGATAATTTGGTAATTGACCCCATACATTCATCTCACGACTCCTTTAAAGACTCCTGAGCCCCAGGTTGAACCTTTACCTTTGATGTGAGCGTAGGTGGCCATGCTGTTACTGAGCAGCTCCATGTCTTTCTTCACAGGCTCCATCAGGGTCACTGTGGTTCAGATATCGACCAGGAGATTTTACTCTCTGAGCTCCTGAAGATCCTGTCAATAAAATAACACAAGTTTAGTTTAGTTAAGTTCAGACAGTTTAGTTTAGTTTAGTAAATCCACTGTGGAAATCTGAGCTCATCCAAAAACCTGAGCTCCACCCATCATTCCTGTGATTTAAACCAGTGTCCGAGGTCAGAGGTCAACAGAGAGGGACATTGTGGTGAGGACAGCAGCGTGAGGCTCTGTGTCTGATAGGATGTTTATGTTTATGACATCATGGCTCTTTTCCGCTCTCAAGGAAATCTGAATTTTTTTCCCACAGAAAAAGTGAAATGACAGATTTCACATAGTAAAAGTCATGTGATCAGAAAAATCATAAGGGTTCATCCTCTGGAACAATGAGCATCTGTTCAATACATCATGATCCAACAGTTTGAGATCTCTCAGTCAGAACCGATGGAGAATCACAGACCTGAACCAGGACCGAGAGACTGAGACCTGGACTGGGCTGAGGTCTGGGATCTGGTCTGAAACCCTGTTGGTCACAGATGGTCGCATGGTTACAGTAAAGCTTGATGTAAACATGATGACTAACCCCCCCCCCCATTACAACAACAATGTGCATGGGAGCCGAATGTTTTTCTTTCTGCTGCTTCTCTCTGGGGAGAATGAACCCTCACTGCCGGGGGGGGGGGGGGGGGGGGTCGCTCGGTCCCCCGCCCTGATCTTTATCCTGCTGACTCTTGGCAGACCCCGCTCACTCTTTTTCTTTTTTAAAGGACAGTTACGCTGGTAGTTTCTCTGGTCTCGGACTCCTGGTCCATGGACTTCTGGGAACCGGTCGTTTAACTCACAGAGAAGAAGCATGACTCCATCTGCACCCTCAATTTACTGCCCCCAGACCTGAACCACATAAGTGGGTAATTAAGTTTTCAGTTCAGCTCATGTAAAGTCAAACAATGTCTGTTTAATTAAAGACTGTTGGTTTTTCATGTCCACACATCAGACTGGTTATCAGACTTCATCACCTTCTTATCACGTCTTTTTGTTTGTAATTTATGTGTTTATAGGAGGAATTACACGTTATTATTTCTATGTCAATTACATTTTTTCAGGTATTTTTTATAATGACGTTTATTTTTCTCTTAATTCCAGTCTAATCACCTACATCACTTTCATTCACAGACACTAATTTCTTGAAATGTCTTGAAGCAGGTTGATTTTTTAAATATCCTCCGTCCTCAGCAGATTCATCATTTGTTTTAAATACAACTCTTCAGACTTCATTACAGACAGAACTTGATAACTAGGAGATTCTTTACAGTAGATCTAATGTGCAGATGAATATTTATACAGACACTAATATGTTTTTTAAAAGTCCTCATAGAAACACACTCACACTACTGTTTTCTTACTTACACAATAACACCCCACAGGTATTTTCTTCCACAGATATTCATGACACACAGTTTGCACTGACGTTTACTCATAAATACCAGAGGGAGACAAATGTCTGTTTAATGATTTAACGGATTTAACACCAACATTTCCAGACACATCCAATAACTTCTCTAACTACGCATGTGACGCCCGGCGGCTGAAGCTGTTTATGTGACCCCATAAAACTCAACCCCCCACACTTCCTGCTCAGATCAGCCTGTTTAAGTCGAAAGATGAAACCTGACACCGGTGAAATAAGACATGTTGTTTTACAGTAGTCGACCCTGCTGACAATGTCTGTCAGTACGACATGAATCTGCAGAGAATCAAACATGTGACAGTTTCCTCTGTGGATTTATATTCACAGTTAATGACTCTGAGCTTGTTGTATCTACTGCTGCTATAATCGGGTTTAGAACAAGCTTCACTAATGAGCCAGTTCATTAACTCACAGTAACTGAAGTAATGTGGTAAAATCTGAATTAGTGAAAATGTCTGAGAGACAGGAAGTCTGCCCTGTGCAATAAAAGCTTGATTTACTTGAGAATTAAACATATTTAACATGAGATCATTTTAAGTCAGAACATCACTCACCTCCGTCCTGGAGCTTCACTAACTCAAACAGAGAACTTAGATCCAGATCTGGACCTGGTCCGTCAGATCCATCTCAGACAGAAAGAGGTTTTGGGTCTCTCAGAGTCTGGAAAAGAGGAGCAGCTCCTCACTATGATCCTCTCATCCTCCACAGTGAGGACGACCAGCCAGAGTCCAGACTGTTGTGAAGGAGGCGTCTCCTTCGCCTCAGAGATAAAGTGAAACTGCCACCAGACTCCAAAATAAAAGCCCCCACTGTTTCTGGACTGATTCTGCCCCAGTGCAGGTCTGAGCCTCTCTGACCGGAGGGACTCACCACACTGAGCTCTGTTCACTGTTCAGCAGGAGGGTGGGACAGGAAATAGCTCGTCGGCTGCCATGGGCAGAGGGCCGTGGTGCTTCGGAGGCTTGACGGTTAATTAGACTCTTTGTATTTTAATCTGAGGCAGAGATCAGCAGTAACAGTTAGTGTTAATGACAGTTTGTTAATTAGACAGAGCAGCAGGTGCTGTTGTTCAGTTAAGTCATTAAGAACATTTACTACAGAACTGAACTGCTACAGGTCTGAGGCAAATACTGAACTTTGACTTCATTCACTTTATCTTCAGAAAATTGAAAGTACATTTATTCAACTATTGTACTAAGATTTCCATTTTATCCCACTTAATACTGTAACTCATTCAATGTAATGCAAGTTTAAAGCTACAACAGTAAATACTACTTCACTTATTAATGATATAATATCTAATAGTAAAACTGGCTCAATTTTCCTGCATTAAGTACTTTTAGTATTTAGCTGCTTTTACTTGAGTAACATTTTCAGTGTCGTTGTAATTGAGTATTTTTACAGTGTATTGTTCTGGCTTTTACTTCTTCCACCATCATTTATCTGACAGATATAACTACTATAGATGATAGATTAAGATCACAATGTTAAACATTAACAGTTATTTCTTTGACAGTCAGAGCAGCAGCCATTTTCCTTTCAGGTTGTCCGTCCATCTCATTCTCGTGGACACGATATCTCAGTCACGCCTTGACTGAACTTCTTCAAATTTGGCACAAACATTCACCTGGACTCAGGGATGAACTGATTAGATTTTGGTGGTCAAAGGTCAAAGTTCAAGGTCACAATGACCTCACAAAACACTTTTTAGTCATTACTGAAGACACAGCAATTATGACAAAATTTCACACAAGTGGTTCATATTTTCTATGATTCTGGATAACCTGGGATGTAACCTGAAACTAGTTTGAGTGGAGGAGGAGGTGATTGTAGTTCACAAGTAAAAGAACAGAAGTAAGTAGATACACGTTATTCAGTAGTTTAAAAGAGGATCTCAGTGTTTGTCTGAGTGTGTGGGACTGACCCAGGCTGTTGTTTCTGTGGTCCGGCCTCTGTAAAGTGTTATTCTGAGTTCACTGAGTGTTGATGTGGCACTGGCTGGTGTTTCCAGCAGAGCAGTAAACAGTCATTATGTGGGTGGCTGTCAGTCAGTGTCCCTAAAAACAATGATCCAACTGCCAGGAGACATTCCTGTATGAATACTCCTCTTAATTTAATGTAGTTTCACAGTGTAAATGATCCAGCTACTGAGTGCACACCCATCCATCCACAGTGAGGGTCTATCTGCTCCAGCTGCCTGTGTTGTGTCAGGCCTGTCCTCTTCCTGACTCTCTGTAGGAATAACAGATTCCTCACATTCCCAGTCGTATTTGTGTATCAGGAGAACACTGGGGTGAAACACTCTCTTCCCTTCAGTGACGGCTGACTGAAGCTTGCAGCAGGAATGTTTGCGAGGTGGAAGCTGTGGAAACATGACGGCTTGTTTTTCCCTCCACCTCACTGGCACTGATCAGGACTTATGTTTGCCTGCTTATGGACAGTTATTATCTCTGGTTTCACACACACAAACACACACACACACACTCACACACATGGGCTTTGTGGTGCATGTCAGGATTATTCAACAGGAAAAACACACTGACTGCTAACTGTGACATGTTCCATTTCATTTAAATAAACCAGTTCTGTGATGTAACGGAGTTAATGTGATGGAGTCATAAAGTTGTTATAATAGAATTGTTATAACAGAGTTGTTATAATGGCGTCATTGAAAAGTTATGACAACGGAGCCTTTTAATGGAGTCAATATGAAGCTGTTGAGCTGTTGGAGTCATTATAAAGTTGTTATAACTGAGTTGTTGTAAAGTTGTTATAATGGAGTTGTTATAATGGAACCTCATAATGTTGTTATAAAGGAGTTGTACAGTAACAGAGGTTTTTGGCAGGAGAATGAATTTATTTCATTTTACATCAGCTTTTCTTTGTTCCACATTTTCTTGCAGAAAAACTTTCTTTCTCTGCAAAGTCTGTATGACCTTATTAAATTTGCTGAAGACACAGTCACTGTCAGCTTATGTTGAATGATGCCTCCATCACTACATGACTCTCAGCCCAAAATCCCTCTGGTAGATAATTAGAAATTTTAGGTGCTCACAGAAAACTTCTTTTCATTTGAATCTAACATTTGTTATTTTTAAGAAAGCTCATCAGCATCTTTATGTATGAAGAAAATGTTCTTTTAATGTTTGTGCACCATGAAAATCAGCAACTATTGTAACAGTGTTCGCATCTTTTTGAGGAAACTGAATTCATTGTTTTTTAACTCCCAGAAACAGTGTCGTCATCAGTGTGTCCACCAGATGGCGCTGACCAGATTATTTCTCCACTGTGAAACATCTGACTTACTATTCTTCATCAAAAAAGGTTTATGTTATTTCTAGAGCTGCAACAATTAGCTGATTAATTGATTAACAGAAAATTAATCAGCAACTATTTCAATAATCAATTGATAGTTTCAGGTCAAAATGACAAACGGCTTCACAAACATCAGTATCTTTGTGTTTTCCACTGTTAGTTTAGATTAAATGAAATGTTTCTTAAGATCTGCCGCATTTTTCATATACTCTAGGCAAAATATTAATAAATTAATCAAGAAAATAATGTGTAGAGTAATTAATAAGGAAAATAATTGTTATATCTTTATTTTTTTTTTAAGAGTATCAGTCCATGTAAAGTGTTTGATACTTTAACTCAAACATAAGTTGGGAGCAGTTCAACCAAACTTCTCAGATTGTTTCATTTTAAGGATTTAAGAAACCTGGAGTGAAACTTTCCAATATTTCACAATGAAAAAAGAGACAGAAGTCGGATTGTGTGTTTTTCTGTCCTCAACTCACTTTGTGACCCTCAGACCTTAAACTGCTGATCTACAGATCTAGGTGGTTTGTCGCTGAGTATTTTTTAACTTAAACAAGCGGCAGAGTTTCGTGTCCTTGTATGAAAGAGAAAAGTCATTTATTTTTCTTGGCGAACTCTTTTCTGCCTCCTCCTTCTCTGGCGAAGTGTCGGGCTCTGTGGATCTTGGCCAGCTGGCTCTCGATGGTCTTCATTATGTCCATGTGGTCTGGGATGTGAACGTAGCGGATGTTCCTGCCGGTGATGAACAGGTCCTGTAGCCGGGTGAGCTGACCCCGCTGGTCCGTGTACAGCACCTCCTCCATTCGTACGTTCATGAAGGCGTCCACGTTGATAACACGTCCCCGTGCCGTGCTCTCATTCCTCAGGTCCACCGTGGTCACCTGCCCCTGCAGACCCTGCAGCAGGACTACCATGCTGTTCTCTGCGATCGTACGCTCACGAAGAGAGTGGAAACCTTCAATTGGCCCCAGGCCCGACGACCGAGACTCAGCTCCCTCTGACTCCATGGATGAAGATTAAGATGACCTCAGGGACACCCGCAGGGAGACAGGAGGTTAGTTTCCACGATAGGATTGACCAGCAAAGAGAACCAGGAACAATAATTATCAAAACACTGAAGTTTTAAAAAATCTTAAATATTTTACACTTTCTAAGTGATATTTCATGCTGCATCTCAGTCTAACAACTGACACTGTACTTTTTTGTAACATAAACTCATCAGGTAAACCCAGCTAAAACTAAATCAGTCGCATACTGCAGCTAAAACTAGAGCAGTCTAATGCTGAAGCTCTGCAGTGAATCCTCTTTCATGAAGATTATCATTTTCTTGTGTTAAAATTGCTTTATAATGAGATCTGTCTCTAATATTTATTCTGCCTTTGTTGAGTTACTGTAAACAGGGTGGACACAATATTAGGCACTTCTGAGTATCAACAATACAGTAAAACAATAACACAGCACCACATTCTGCCTCCATCACAAAGTCAAACTGATCATCACAACCTTCATTGACCTCAGGACTGTTGTATTAGACCGCATTAGCTTTAGCCTGGTGTTCCTAATAAACTGATATGAGTGTGAAGCCTTATGCTAAAGTGCATCTGCATTTATTGTCATCAATCATTAGTCATTATGTCACCACAGAGGTAGGTTCAGGACAGAAAGTTTAGATATAATTATAATAATAATAATAATAATAATGATACACATGGACAAACACTGGCTTTAAAATACAACGGCAGAATCAGTCCTACACGTTTATTACTGATATTTATTATCGATCACTTTGAGGCCTGACGGCCCTGTAACTTCAAACGTGTCTATTTCTTATAAACTGTATTAAAGTCACCGTGTTTGTGACAGAATCAAATCCCTGTTTAAGCCTCATGATAGGAACATCATTTTATTTACGCAGCTTCACCTAAAAATCACGGTTTAATTAAGAGACAGAGGTAGAAGCTGAGTTAGCTTCACTGTTAGCTTTAGCATCAGGCTAAAGAACTACGTCGGAGCTGCGTTAGAAATAACATTAACCCGTTAAACTCAAGTGTGTGGAACATTTACCTGCGACACTTCAATCTCTGTGTAACGAGTCCCCGCCACGAGGAAATAAACCGTCCGAGGTTTGTCAACAAGTTGGTTTTCCCGCACGAATAGCGTCACCGAGAAAACGGCAGCGTGATGACGCCTGACTGTGCGTCCCACATTACGTCAACACACGGCAAGCAGCGCCCTCTGCAGGCAGGAAACAAACATAGCGTTTACACTTTGTAAGGCTCTATCTATTCTATTCTATTCTATTCTATTCTTTTCTTTTTCTTTAAAAAAATCTATTAAAAAAAAAATCTTTTTTTAAAATATGTGAATGTAGATGTCAAATATTTGTGTGGATGTTTATATACATACATACATACATACATACATATACATATATATACACATATGCTGCATATGTCCATTGCACATACAAATAACATATAAAGGCCTAACCCTGACAAAGAATTTAAAATATATGCTCACTACATTAAAATTCTTAAGAAAAGAAAAATACAACAGATTAATAAAATCATGTTTGTCATACAATATATTTATCACACAGCATGTATTTTAATACTATTTACTTTATATTTAATGCGATAAACATGCATTTCAGGAGCTTTTGAGAAAGACACATAAGAAAATAAATAATTGCTGACTCTCATTTAACCCCACATTGTGTGGGAAAAAAGCAACCATGAAAATATGAATACATGCTTTATTGAAAACATAAAATTAGAATACATGGATGAATATAGTCTGTGTTACGATCTGTAATCAATTCATGTGGTATTTTTGAAGCACTAGTAATTTAAAATACAATAGAATAAAATGTTTTTTGCTATAAGATGTTGGATATTTAATTTCCACTGTTAGTTTCCATCAGTGTGAAACAAACCAGTTGAAGAATAAACTGACATACAGATTAAACACAAACTCACAGTGAGGGGTTATGTGATTGTTTAATTTAGGCCATAAAGTTAAAGCAATAAATGAAAGCGTCTTAAAGTTCATCACAGACTTCAGTGACCATGATCAACCAATAAAAATGAAGAGACTGAACAGGGTCAGAGATCGTCCATCATGGCCAGCAGGTCGTCTCCTTTGTTCCCGCCTGGACTTTCAGGCTGTTCCTGTTCTGTGAACTCTCCAGCGATTCGAGCCAGTTCAGTTGCAGCCTGTTGATCCTGAACCAAACAGAACCAGATAAATCAGCTCATCAGATGCTCATAATAAACCCATTAGTGTGGTGACAGTTATTTAATGATGGATGATGGCTGGTTAATTGCAGGTGATAAAAATGTAACAGAAAAGTATGAAATATTACAAGATAAGATCAGATATTCCTTTATTAGTCCCACACTGGGGAAATTTGCAGTGTCACAGCAGCAAAGTGACAGTACAAGAAAGAAAAAACTGCAAAATTCAATAACAAATACTTAAAGAAGAAAGATGAATAACAGATAATACTATAATATGTACAATTCAATATTTACAACAAAAAGCAGCATATGAGTTATATTGCACAGATGGTGTGTGTTACTTATTGCACATTATTGCACATGGTGAGTCTGTCAGTTCCCAGTGTGTGTGATCTACTGAGTACAGTGTTTGTCGTACAGTATTACATTTGATCTAATGATGTTGATACAAATTCATATAAATGATATCTGTCAGTCTGATAAGGTTTTTTGACCTGTCTCCTCTATCAGCTCACACACAGTAGAGAACTAAAGACTGTTGCATCATCCTACCTGCATCGCTTGAATGTTTATCACTCCGAACAAAGACTCGTCAGCTCCACAGGAAGTTCCCCTGTTAACCAAAATAAAAGCCACATTTCGGGACATTAATGTTAATTTGAGTGCATGAAAAAGAGCAACGAGAAGCACTCACGCCTCCTCCTCCTCCTGGTCTGTAGTGAACAGGTTGACCCTGAAGCCAATCTCAGCTGTGGGCTGCTTCTCAGCCTTCATGCTTCCCATCAGACGAGCCAGCAGGTTCAGCTCCTCCTTGGCCAGAAGGTTTGGAGAGTCGTCTGTCTGCAGCACAACGGACAGAAAGTTAGGAGGTCTCAACCTAAAATATACTGTTTCATATGAAGCACAATCAAAAGGAAAATGAAAGATGCTGCGAAGGTTTTGCAAGTGGGCTGTCAAATAATTTGAAAAACAGTATAATTTGGGTGAAAAGATGTAATTATATATTTTAAAAAAAGATATTTAAATAATGTTTTTAAACATTTTAAAGCTAAATGATCTTTAAAAAAAACATTAAAACATTTTTTTAAAACTCCTTTCATTGTTTATTTTTTTCTCGCATTAAGGCCTGTCACTGTGATAGTGATAGTTTATGTTGTCGCCGGCCAGACCACATCGTATACTTGCTTGCTTTCTCATCTGATCACATCCAGGCAAGAATCAAAGTGGAGAACTGGTTAGCAACAGGAAGAGTTAAAAGGAAAGAGTCAGAGACAGATGGTGAAGTGAAGAGTGATCTCTCCTCTGTCAAACAAAAAAGAAAAGTTGAGCTTCTCCTGTTTTCAGTTCAGTCCTGAATGTTTGATATTTACCATTAAAATGAAAAGTGCTCTGAGAATATTATTTGGCCTCCGTATTGTTATGGGGTCGGATGTGGGCTTCCAATATTGTTGAGATTTTCAAGTGGCCATGAGTTGGAAAAGGTTGGAACCATTGGTGTGTACCAATAAGTTACAGCAGCGGCCAACAGCACGACCCTGGGACTCGATAAACGAAATGGAAATCAATGTTTTTCTTAATAATGTGATTGATTGCATCACTTCAGTACCTTCACAGAAGGAGCCTTGGATGTGTGAGTCTCCTCTGGATGGTTCACAGTGTACCTTTAAATTCACGAAACACAACACATGATCTGAATGTACAGAGTTGGTCTATATGTGCCAATGCATGTGTTAAATCGCAGCACACACATGTTCAGGCCCAGTCTGATGACTCTGTCTCCGTGCAGGTCGAAACATCCCTCTCTGATTGGGCTGCTGTAACTTCCTCCAGGGGGAAACTCACTTCGTCTCACTTCCCTGCCTTTACTGTCAAACGTCCTGTGGAAACAGGAAGAAGACGATCACGATGATGATGATGATGATGACACTCTGGAATATAAAGATGTCAGTCAGAGGAAATCTTTCAAATTAAGATGTTAGCTCGTCAGTGGAGCCTTCACAGTTGCATCAGTCCTGTATGGTTAAACTAGTGTGCTGCTGATTGTCATTGGACTGAAACTTTCACTTTGTATTCACATTTTTGTCACTTTTTACACACAAGGTAGATTTCCTCTTTTAGGAGCTTTGACCTCTTTTACTTTTTGTCAGCATGGACAGTTTCTCTGTGAATGAGACCAATCAGACCCTAAAGCATGATTGTATAAAAGTAATGTAGATTCATATATAGTTGTGAAACAGTAAAACCCTCTGTCCACACACTTCAGTCACCCTGAGGAAATACATAGCCTGCTAGCTAGCTAACATATTAGGTAGTATGCTAATCAAGTTGGTCAATAATAAATATCTATTTATTATTGGATAAACTGAAGCTTTGACCTGTAGATTGTTCAAGACGAAGAGTCAGGAGATCAGTAAAGTTATTACTTTTCACCATCATCATCAATCATCAATGTCTGGACCAAATGTAGTTTGAAAACATCCTGTACATGTCAAATTGGTAAACAGTCAGGTGATCACTGAAGTTATCAAGATTTATTCTCAGGGAAACTTTGAATTAAAATATTAAATTTATATATATATGGCCGAATTGATGACCTGCCAACATTTTTCATCCCTCTCACCCCTCATTAAAACTTCATATTTTTAGTGTCCAACTACAACATCATGCTCGATTGTTAGCTAGTGAGATTTTGTCAAAGCTTCATGGGAGTTGTAGTTGTTGAAAAGTACTGGTACTTGATGCTAGCTAGAGAATGGGAGATCAAATTACACTCCACACCACACTGTACATCAATATTCACATGTAAAAGAGCCTGATATTGATGATTGTGCAAATCTACCGGATTAACCCTGGAACATCTATCCCACGAGGCACTGGGCCTGAGGTCGACAGGGCAAAACGTCCATTTGGATTCTGGACTTGATTCTTGAGGAAAAGTGACACCTGAAAAGCAAAGATAAAAAAAAGTGCTGACTGAAACAAAAGTTCTTCATGAAGTTGTATGGGCTGATGAGATAATAAGAGATAACTCACCCGAACATGCATGTCCTGGAAAAATATGAGCAGTGTTTGTCTGAGAAGCTGAAATTCACCGTCTGATAACGACGAGTAAATCTACATCAACAAAAACACAGGATGTTAGACAAATACAAACATCACAGCTGGACTCCAGGTAGTAAAACGACTACTGAGTGAGTTGAACATGTCAGATGCTGTAAACAGGAATATGGTTACATAAGGTTTATTTGTACCTCGATGATCTTCCTGTGTGTCTCGTCCACTTGGTTCACAACCACAGGAGTGTCTTTTACAAATTCCCTTATGGTGTCTATGTGGTTGTATGAGATGAGCAGCAAGTCTTTTGGCCGTGGACAAAGGAAGACTTGATATTTGAACGCCATGGCCATCAGCTCGTAAAGCTACAGGAGGGAAAAAGAGTTTTTTCTTTTGGACCATCCCACTTCCTACCATACCATCACATTAATTTAGCTCCACAAGGATTTTAAAGGCATCTCGAATCAGTGGTGTAGAGTTGAGAGCTGGACTAGATTCAGGTTGAAGTCATAGAAAAAAAGACTTAAGACTTAGTTTATTTTAGGTCTTGGCTTCCTCATTAAAATCTCATGATTTGACCTGGTAAAACCTTGGAAAATAAAAAATAAATTAAATGAAATAAGGCAGTGCCAGGCAGGCCTTGTCTGGACATAGACCATGAATATCTAACTATTAGGCCTAAAAAATAGAGGTTTGTATCCATGTCCATGCTGCTACATACCCTGTCCATGCTGGCGGGGTTCAACCTCATGATGGAGGCATGTGCTAAGCGTGTTAGCACTGTTTTCAGTGTTCTGTGCGAATACAGCTGCTGAGGTTTGAGAAGTTCATCCATAAAGGTTTTACTAAACATGGTCCCAACGATGTCATTCATGACTATGAATAATAGAGACAGAAACAGAAGGTGGTTAATTCTGACAAGAGTTTACTATTGGAAATGTTAGTCTACTGTATGTGTAATTAAACAGCACAGAAGACCTTGTTTTGATGTTAATGCAACTGAAATGCTTTGTCTTTACAGCTAATGGTTTTCATTGGGTTCACCTGCTGTACAGAGACACAGAGCTGAAACTACAGACTGTAACAAATAGATTGTAAAACCTTCATTTTATGATTTTTGATGATGCACACTTGGTCAATCTTTATTCTTTTACTCTTCTATTAATATTTACAGTAAATTGAACTTAATACATTAAAATACGAGATTTAAAGATGCTTAAGCTAAGCTAATTACTGTTGACAGGCGTTTAGGTTTATGTCTCCATCCCTGATGAATTTAACTACTGCCTCATTTATTTATGTGAAATACGTGACCAACAAACATTCATCAAAATAATGACTTCATACACAGTTACAGAAAAATCAGTAAACACATTTAGTTTTAGCTTTAGCTAGCCATGGCCGTCTGTCTAGCTAGCTAACATTTGATGAAGCAATGTTTAGTTTCTGTTACATGCTATTTTTTGAATTATTATTATTTTACAAATGTTATATATAAAAAAATTATTACAAAGAAATAAACAAAAACAATGAAAGTTTGATTTTTAGAGTCCCTCCACACAGCAAGAGCCTGAAGATGTTTTAGTTGCAAGTTGATTTTATATTTCAGTGGAGAAAATTTCTAATAAATGTGTAATTAAACATGTAGACCCACATTATGTGGACGGGGCCTTGGACGCCCCTCGACACTTGCCCACTTTGCCCAGGTGTTAATCCAGTCTTGTATTTCCTTGCCTTATTGTGCCACTGCAGTTGTTATATTAGTATGACATAACCGTAAAATGTCAGTTTACCAATACTGCACAGTATCTACCCTGTATTTATCAGTATTTATATAGAATATAATTTATGTCTCATTGTTTGTTATTGTTATTCTCCCTTTCCTCATATTGTGTTCTTACACCGTACCATCTAACGTGTTTTTATAAAACATGATTACACTGTAAATTGTGGGCTATAATATAAAGTGGTGCTGAGACTACTACCACTTCACAACCTATGCTACATTAGTTATGTAACCAGTATGACCAGAATGAATGACACAGATACATGGATACCTCTTTTTCTGTCATTTTCTGACCACACTCCTGCAGGAAAAGAAAGAAGAGAAAGAAAACTGACTGATTTTTGGTGTTGTGCATGAGAAATATGAGATGATCAGTTTATAAACTGACTGCTACTTGTCCAGGGGGGACACATACACGCCTAGCTCGCCCGTCAGTTCTCTAACTACCTCTACCTTTCTCTGAATTGTCCTCAGACGTGTTCTGTGCTCGCAGGCGTTGGTCCAGTATGTAAAGCATCTCTCCACCGAGATTAATGAAAACCAGGGGCAGAGTTCTCACAGACATCTTCCAAAGACAAACTCGGGATTAGGTCCAAGGCAAAGCTGGTGCAGAGGTAGGTGTCAGAAGGATTTAAGTCCCTTGCAGATCAACAGAACTCTTGTCATTTCAAAGGCATTATCTGATTGTTCCTGTTGTGAATCGCCATTGCTCACAGAAGTGCCCATGTTAAAGTCTTATCTGATCATGCTTCTGCAGATAACCTTTTGCACTAAGATGCAACAGGTGGTCAGGAAGAGGATCAGCAGAGGCCAGACACAAGCTCATTGGCCAGGATCAGGATGACGTGACAGCACAGCACAACCAACCACAGACTGTAAAGTGTGTATGTTCAATATATGGAAGAAGAAAACGCAAAACTAAGTCTATAGAGATTCATAGGTTATGCCTGTTAACAACCACTCACAGCATGGATATATGAATATACTTACACATTACACCCATATGTGATTGTTTTTATTTCAAAACCATGAGAATGACTCTGCTGCTGCCTCCACTCTTCTGTAAAGATTTTCTACCACAACAGCACTATCAGCCTGATGTTGGGTCCTGGTTTTAGGAGATGAGGCCTGGCTCTTTCCGGTTCATCCCAAAGGTGTTAGATGGGATTGAGGTCAGGGCTTGGTGCAGTTACTTTATGGACCTTGACTTATGCATAGGCTGTTGTCATGTTGAATCAGGGCAAACTGTTGCTACACTGTTGCTGTTTGCTGCAGCGTAAAACAACTGTTTGACATTTTGGGAAATATGTTCATTTGTTTTCTATCTGAGAGTTAGAGGAGAAGATCAAAAGCATTCTCATAGCAACAATTTAAGGTCACAGTATCAATAAAACAAGGAAGTGCAGAATCTTTTTTTCAAAAATGACAAACAACTTCTTTAAGATTTTATCCATTAAAATTAGCCCCACATCAAAATCACACAAAGGTCTGTGGACGAAGGTGTCCATGTATTTTTGATCATAAAGTGCCCCCATTCTTAAAGACAAGCTGGAAGGGATGGGGGTGGATCCCTGCTTCACGTCCTGGATTGTGGATTACCTGACAAGACGACCACAGTACATCAGGCTGGGTAACTGTGTCTCAGGAAAGTGATGAGCAGCACTGGGGCTCCACAGGGGACTGTTCCAGTTCTGTTCCTGTTCATCCTGTATATGGCCGACTTTAATACGACTCTGATTCCTGCCACATCCAGAAATACTCAGATGACACATCCATTGTGGCGTGTATCAGGAATGGGCAGGAAGAGGAGTACAGGGATCTGAAGATGGCCTTCAGTGAATGGAGCAACAAAAACTGCCTCCTCCTGAACACCTCCAAGACCAAGGAGATGGTCATGGACTTTCTGAGGTCTAGCCCAGCCTTCAGCGAGTCAGCATTTGAGGGAAGGACATTGAGGTGGTGCACACTTATAAATACCTAGGTGTGCACCTGGACAGTAAACTGGACTGGTCCCTGAACACAGATGCCATCTACCTGAAGGGGCAGAGCCGGCTCTTTTTCCTCAGGAGCTCTCAGGTCCTTTGATGTCAGCAGTGAAATGCCTCACATGTTTTATCAGTCAGTGGTGGCCAGTGTAACTCTTTAATGCTGTAGTCTGCTGGGGAAGCAGCATGTCAGACATGAACACAAGGAGACTGGACAAGCTGGTCCAAAAGGCTGGGTCTGTGCTGCAGGAGTCTGGACTCACTCAGGACTGTTGTGGAGAGACACATGCAATGTAAGATGGAGGCCATCTTGGACAATACCAACCATCCTCTCCATAATCTTCTGGCAGGACAGAGAAGCAGCTACAGCTGCAGCAAACGTCTCATCTCACCGCAGAACAGAGAGGTTCAGGAGATCCTTTGTTCCCACTGCCATCAGGATATACAACACCTCAGCCAAAGGAAGTGGACTAATCTAATTATTACTGTTTATTTATTATTAACTGTTTTTTATTAATATTATCAACAATGAGCTAATGGAGACATTAATTTCCCCTATGGGATAAATAAAGTATCCATCTATCTATCTATCTATCTATCTATCTAGCTGCCAACACAGATGTTGTGATGTCACTAACTGTCATGTAGTGAATGTAGATAAGCTGTGAACAACCTGAAGACACATTTGACTAAGTTACGATATTGTCTATTCATCACTCACCTCTTTTACAATGTCCGCCCCACTGTCTCTCTCTCTCTCTTTGTCTCTCTCTCTCTCTGTCTCTCTCTCTGTTTCTCTCTCTCTCTGTCTCTCTGTCTGTTTCTCTCTCTCTCTGTCTCTCTGTCTCTCTCCTCTCTCTGTCTCTCTCTCTCTCTCTCTCTTTCTGTCTCTCTCTCTCTGTCTCTCTCCTCTCTCTCTGTTTCTCTCTTTCTCTGTCTCTCTCTCTCTCTGTTTCTCTCTCTCTCTGTCTCTATCTCTCTCTCTCTCTCACTTTCTCCTCACTCTAAACGAAAGATTAAAAAGTAGAAATATGAAAATGAGGCTCTATCTTTACACTCACTGTTACAGCAGCTGACTCACAGGGAGACATCTGTCTGTTTGTCTCGTTCACAGTTTGAAGCTTTTAAAGGTGAAACTTTACAAATCGATCATTGAGACTAAGATCTAAATAATCTAAAAGAGAGTTTGATAAATCCTGATTGAATTCACCGGAGCAGCCATCAGCCTGATTATGGAGATCTATCATTACCTCTGGCTTCTCTCTGTGTAAGTTGAACATAATAATGCTGATTATATTATATTTTTCTCACTATGTTTGCTTATTCTGCATCATCACATCACTTATTATTGTTTGCCAACAAATCCAGGAAATATTTCTTTTTACTTGTTGGTGAACAACAACAATATACATTTTTTTCTGTTGTTGAATTTTTTTGTTAAAAAATATTTGATTTAGAAGGTATCATGTTTTTCCCTCCACCAGAATAACCTGCTGTTCAGGTTCAGGTTTCAATGATAACCCAACCATAGATCCAAGACTCTATAACCCAGGCTGGATGAAGTCTATACCTGATGAGACTCCACTCTCTGCTATCTCCATACCTGGAACACATGGAAGCTTATCATTATATGGAGGACCACTTGCTAAATGTCAAGTTTGGACCTTGGACAAGCAACTTAAAGTGGGACTCAGGTTTTTTGACGTGCATGCTGGTATTTGGTTGCAGACCCAAGACGATATTTATATCTGGGATAGTCACTGGATGCTTTCACAACACATTCGATTTGATGAAGCCCTCAGGATCATTTTCAACTTCTTAAATGTCCACAGTAGTGAGACTGTGCTGCTGAAAGTAACACTGCATGGGGTTTTCAAGAGGAAAGTTGTAAGATTGATGAAGAAAGTGATTGAAAAGTATAGAAATAAAATATGGACTGGGTTGTCAGTACCAAACATGCAGCAGGCAAGAGGAAAGATTGTTCTTCTCCAGAGTGACACTTTCCGTCCTGGAGCAAAAAATTCATTTTCATTGTTTTTTGAAAATCACCAGCTAATCAATGTGGAAGACAAAATCAGGAAACTCAAGCCACACCTCTGTGATCATCACATTGTGCTGACTGACAGTGCAGCATCACGTTTTAACAGTCCGAAATGGTTGGCTCAAACAATTAATAAACAGCTTAATGACTTTGTGGTGCAACATATGAAAAGCTCCTTGAACCAAGGTTGTTTAGGTGTCTTAAGCATGAATTTTCCCAGCGTTGATCTTATTAAAAAAATAATTCAAATAAAACAATGCGATTGTGGAAAGTCAAAATCTCCAACATCAGAGCTGAGCAAACCTGAAACTGACCCAAACAGTACAACTGGAGGAGTGCCTGCACCAGACTTAACAACACCCTGGCAAGATTCAAAAACAACAGCCGAACCAGCTCCTGCAGAAGACTCAACAACCTCTGGAACAGAGTCAGAAACAGCAGTCGAACCAGGTCCTGCAGAAGACTCAACAACCGCTGAACCAGGTCCTGCAGAAGACTCAACAACTTCTGGACCGGAGTCAGAAACAACCCGACCAGCTCATGCAGAAGACTCAACAGCCTCTGGACCAGATTCGGAAACAACAGCTGAACCAGCTCCTGCAGAAGACTCAACAACCTCTGGGCCAGAGTTGGAAACAACAGCAGAACCAGCTCCTGCAGAATCAGAAACAAGCACCGAACCAGCTCCTGCAGAAGACTCGACAACCACTGAACCACCTCCTGCAGAGGACTCAACAACCTCTGGGCCAGAGTCGGAAACGACTGCAGAACCAGTTCCTGCAGAAGACTCAACAACCGCTGAACCACCTCCTGCAGAGGACTCAACAACCTCTGCACCAGAGTCAGAAACAACTGCAGAACCAGTTCCTGCAGAATTGGAAACAACCGCTGAACCAGTTCCTGCAGAAGACTCAACAACCTCTGCACCAGAGTCAGAAACAACCGCAGAACCAGTTCCTGCAGAATTGGAAACAACCGCTGAACCAGTTCCTGCAGAAGACTCAACAACCTCTGCACCAGAGTCAGAAACAACCGCAGAACCAGTTCCTGCAGAATTGGAAACAACCGCTGAACCAGCTCCTGCAGAAGACTCAACAACCTTCGGGCCAGAGTCGGAAACAACAGCTGAACCAGCTCCTGTAGAAGACTCAACAACCTCTGGGCCGGAATCGGAAACATCAGCTGAACCAGCTCCTGCAGAATCAGAAACAAGCACCAAACCAGCTCCTGCAGAAGACTCAACAACCTCTTGGCCAGATTCGGAAACAACTGCAGAACCAGTTCCTGCAGAAGACTCGACAACCACTGAACCACCTCCTGCAGAGGACTCAACAACCTCTGGGCCAGAGTCGGAAACGACTGCAGAACCAGTTCCTGCAGAAGACTCAACAACCGCTGAACCACCTCCTGCAGAGGACTCAACAACCTCTGCACCAGAGTCAGAAACAACTGCAGAACCAGTTCCTGCAGAATTGTCAACAACCGCTGAACCACCTCCTGCAGAGGACTCAACAACCTCTGCACCAGAGTCAGAAACAACTGCAGAACCAGTTCCTGCAGAATTGGAAACAACCGCTGAA